CGTGCCGCACGTGCTAGGCGTCTACCTCACAGTGCGACTGGCGGCGCGCTACCCTCACCTGCAGTGGTTGTATGGCGCGTTCGGTCTGGCAGTAATCGGTGCCAGCTCGTGCTTGGTGCCCGCCTGCCGCTCCTTCGCACCACTGGTGGTCTCGCTCTGCGGCCTCTGCTTCGGTATTGCGCTGGTGGACACGGCGCTGCTGCCCACGCTGGCCTTTCTTGTGGACGTGCGCCACGTCTCGGTCTATGGTAGTGTCTACGCCATCGCTGACATATCCTACTGCGTGGCCTATGCTCTCGGGCCCATAGTGGCGGGCCACATTGTGCACTCGTTTGGCTTTGTGCAGCTTAGCCTTGGCATGGGCCTGGTCAATCTGCTCTACGCACCCGTCCTACTGCTGCTGCGCAACGTGGGCCTCTTGAAGCGCTCCCGCTCAGAGCGCGATGTGCTGCTGGATGAGCCACCGCAGGGTCTGTACGATGCTGTGCGCCTGCGTGAGCGCCCTGTGTCCGACTGGGACCGCGAGCCTCGCAGCCCACCTGGCCCCTTTGACGAGTGCGAGGACGGCTACGACTACTACACTCGCAGCTAGCATCCCCGCTCCTCCCCCTGGCCACCCACCCCCTCCCCACTCTACCCCCACTCCCGGGTCAGGGTGGCTGCACTGTGAGCACACTGGCCAGCTCAGGCTCAGGGCCCGCCCCCTCCAGCGAGTACCCCAGCCCCTCCTTTGTCTTTATTTCCCTTGCCTGGGTCCCCTGTCTATGACTCTTTCTGTGTCCCCCTCTCTCTCGTCCACTGGGGCGTGGAGCACTGAGGTGCGTGAATTGATGTACTTCTGGCAGAGATGAAGAGACGCGCCGGCGGTCTCCTCGGGGCTCCCCCGTGTAGACCTGTGCCTCTGTCTGTCCTTCCTTCCGTTCCTCCTAGTGCCAACTCGTCCCGCTGCACCGCGGTGCCTCCGGGCTGAATCAATAAACCATATCTGTACGAGACCGAGTTTCTTTACTGATGGGAGTGGGAGACTGGGCAAGGGGCCAGGGCAGAGGGGAGGGTGAGCTGAGTCTAACCTCAATCCAGGTCTCAGTCCAGCGGGCACTCGGAAAGCCTGTGGCTTTTTTGCTACCTGGAAAAGGAGACGCAAACCCAACAAAGGCTCCCACCCTGGAACACCCTGGTGCACACGTCCGCAGCCCGCGCCAGTCCCTTCCCCACCCTAGGCGCAGCGCAGCGCCCTAGGGCGCCGCCCGGGGGAGCCTGAGTACCCGCTCCCTCTGGGTGCGTCGGCCCCGCCCCTGGAGGACACGCCCTGAATCAGCCTCAGAGCTCCCCGGGCTTCGCTTAGAGCAGCTTGCCCCGTCCAGGCTCCGAAAGGAACAGAGGCCGAGCCGTTACGAGCAGCGGAAGGAAACCCGCCCCATCTTTAAGGGCCCGATTTCTGGAAACGCGCGTGTATGATTGTGTGTGTTTGTTAGAGAGCTAGGCTCTATCCTACACGGAGTGGGGAAACAGTTGTCAGTGTGTCCACTGTGTCCCGGCTGTGGGGGGCTTGAGTCGGAGCTGGAGAGGGTGCGGGTGTGGGAGCTTCTACCAACCCCCCGCACACACACACACACCGGGTCCTGAGTGGAAGCAGCCACCCAGGGCTGTCAAAGAAGTCTCTCTACCTTGAGTGAGGGTCCCCAGAGTCGCAGACCGGCGTTTGTGCACCACTTCCAGTCCTGCAGCCTGCGGGCCTCGTGAAGGCTACAGCGTTCTCTGATCCTGGCATGGAGAGGCCGCTGTGTTGGGGTATGCCTGTGTATTAGACAACTCCTGTGGGGGTCTGCGCTGCTGGTGTGTGCACGTCTGTTCTCGATCTGCGTGTCAGGCTGAGTGTGTGGGCAGAGTCTGCCTTTGTGGGTCTGTCTGTGTGTGTCCCCGTGGAAGGCTCTGTATGGGGGAGGGGACGGGACTGCTTTGTCTGGGAGGAGTGTCTGCCTCTGGCTGCATATCTCTAAGCATCCCCAGGTCTGTATCTGGCATATTCCCCATAGCGCCGGCTGGGATAAGTGGGAATAGAAAAGAAGGACCTGCAGTCATCAACAAACAGGTTGTTGTTGTTGTTGTTTTTGTTGTTGTTGTTGTTGTTGTTGTTGTTGTTGTTGTTGTTGTTTTGAAAGGAGTTGCAGTGGGATTGGAGCCTGCCCTAGACGGTGGGGGAGTTCACAGATTTACCCAGACCCAACCCTCCCCAGAGTTCTACAGATGCAGCCACAGCTGGAATAAAGGGGTTGGGGGAGCGCTGGGACTGAGGAGGCTGGGCTGAGGGTGATGGACACGGGTGGGGCCGGGATCTGCACCCCGCTCTGGGGGCCTGGATTCCGCTGCCTTTGCAGGAGCTAGACCGGGAAGCCGTCAGAGCAGGGAATGG